AGTCATGACATCATGCCCCACTACACAAACATGAAAGCACCAGTGGAGAATGAGTGCCATTGCTAACTGCCCTCACCAGCTGCTCCCCTCCCAACCAATCTTGACAGACTTCTCTCCCTGTTCCTTCCTGCATGGAAGTGATAATGTCTTACATTTGGGTCCTATTCATCCTAGAGAGAGGTTACTGGTTTGACTTTGATGCTATCCCACCCCTCAGTACCATAAGTTGCATGTAAAAGTAAAGGTAAAGGTTCCCCCTTGGCATTAAAGTCCAGTCATGTCTGATTCTAGGGGGCGGTGCTCATCTCTGTTTCTTAGCCGAGGGAGCCAGCGTTTGTCTGCAGACAGCCTCCGTGGTCATGTGGCCGGCATGGAACGCTGTTACCTTACCACCACAGTGGTACCTTTTTATCTACTTGCATTTGTATGCTTTTGAACTGCAAGGTTGGCAGGAGCTGGGGCAGAGCTACAGGAACTCACCCTGTTGTGCAGATTTGAACCAGTGACCTTTTGATCAACCAGCCCAGCAGCACAGCAATTTAAACCACTGCTCCACCTGCACCCCTTTAAGGTGCATGGCCCTGTCCCTAATGCTGATGGTGGAGGTTGATTCACTACCTTCCAAGGAGACAATAGAGTGAGTTTCTTGTTTCAACCTTTCCTAAGGCTTTGACTCTCACTATTTCATGGTACTGAAATGACATGTCGGCCTTGGACCTATCCTAGACCTCAGGGCATTAATTGCCTATCACTCCAAGCAGGTTCAGGAGGGTCATTCTCCAGAATATCCTGCCTGTCCCATAATGAGGGGATGGGTTTACTTCCACATTTCCACAGAGCACCATCATCAGCACTTTTCTGTGCTTCCAGATTGGAGACAAGATGTTCCAATTCTCTATACTTCCCCTTTGGGCTTTCACCTACACCCAGTAAATTCATGACAGTGTGTCAGGATCAGAACCTGAGTAGTTCCTCAAGTGTCTGTAGAACTAGGTACTCCTCTGAGGGCAAACAGTGGGAAGCAATCATGCACTACAGCTGAAGATCCTGGAGACTTACATAAAAGACACCTTCACACCCCTGCCTTGCTCCAGCCTGTATTCTTCTTTCTGTTCCTGTCCTCCTCTGAGTAGACCCTGCCTTGCTCCAACTGCTGCCTTTGTGGCAATGACTCACTGGTAAAATGACCTTGGAATTGTGCTCTGTCTCTGTGTGCACAAAATCTGACTGCTCTCTTCCATGCTGTTGACCTGCACCTCCTAATTTGCCTCTAGCCTCTGGCCCATAGTGAAGTTCTGGACTCTGTTTGAACTCGTGCCCTGAACCTGGCATTCTACCCATCCCTGCTGCCAGCTCTCACAAATGGTCTGCTCACACCTGTACCTCCAAGGAGTACAAGTTTTCCTGTACCTTGGTGACTGGCCCTTAGTTGCTCCATCTACGGTGGAACTAGCACACTTTATCTACACCACCTGCTCTCTCCTGCAGACTGGGACTCTGTATTAACCATAGGAAATCCATTCTTTACCCCTCCCAGTCCATTCTTTTCATAGAGGCCTGCCTCAGCTCATCCTCAGAGAAATCTCTCTTCCCAAAATCTAAAACATCTGCACTGATCAAGATGGCTATCAAACTCAGCACTAGAGTGACTATTACGATCCTCAGAGTACAAAAGCTGCTTTCCATAGCCAAGAAAGTGGCAATGGTCCTCTTTGCTAATCTCTAAACATGACCCTTACTAAAGTGGTTTGTCCATGTGCTCTGCACATTTAGCAACCTGCACAACACATGCCTTGATGTCCTTCTACCCACAAGGAACAGCTGCCAAGGGGGGATCAGTCCCCACAATTTGCCAGCAGGCGTCAACTTTTCACCCCCAGACTCATCAATCTTGTCACCATAGATGCATCGCTGTTGGGATTGGGAGCAACTGTGGTGATCTGAGAAGCCAGGGAACCTAGAATTGACAAGAGTCCTGGAGATACAACCTGTGGAAAGACATTCACCTGCATGAGTGACAGCTGAGCACCAGGCTACATCTTGGTGTTTTGTTTTACTTCTATGGCTCTGCCTCAGAAAATTGCTCCCATCTCCCTCACAGCCTAGGCCTGATATCATGAGACTGCGACAAAATTCTCCACCTCAAGATTAACCCTATAAATCTCACGGCATGGCACATTACACCATAAATGTTCACAGTTGATAATCTGCCACAGGGTGTCCAAATCATCCTTGATGCTGCCTTGAAACTATCAGTGAGTCTTACCTAATCAAATGGCAGGCACGCACCACCACGTGGCAAGAAGATGCTCTCAACCCATGGGATGCGATGATTAAGCACATCCTCCAACCTTTACACACTCCTCCTTCAATCCTGGGACCTATAGGCAGTCTCAGTGGAACCGAGGGAATGGGCAGGAGCCCCTTCCATGGATGTAGTGCACTAGAAGGGGAGGGGCTCCCTCCCAAACTAATGCTTAGTTGTAGAAACTTCCTGACAACAGGTTCCACACAGGCACAGAGTCCATATGTTTAAATGCACAGATGACCTCTTGAAGAAAGATAGTTACAGGTAAGCAACCTGACTTTATCAGCTAGGATAGTTTTTTATGTCATTGGAACCCTATCACTTCTTCCAGAATTGGGAGATCAGTATTTACTATTAGTCTTACAGTGGCTATTATAGAAAAAAAATAGTAGTGGTGGCACAGAGGGGCTATGTACATTTTGAGGGATGGCTTTTTCTCACATGTTAGATTTCTGGAAGAGAAATAATACATTTCACGTTAATTCATTTTCTCTTAATTAAGGCCACTAGATCTTGATGGAGTTCACTTTCAAGTAAGGATATTTAGGATTAAAACCTTATCATTAATTTCTAGTTTTATGACGCAGTTACAGGTGCATGTGAATAAAGTCTTTTTCCAGTGATCACAGAAGTAAAGCAATGGAAACATAGTGGTGGTGGAGGGGGAAGCTACTTATTTGGGGGGAGAGCAGTTCTCTGCCAATGCCAGAGTATCCTGTGTTGTCCTTTTTAAGGTCTTTCAGCTCTAAGATAGATGGATTTAGTATACAGATTATTGTGTTCGTGATTACTCTGAAGTTGAAATATCTATCATAATATGGTGTTATTTGCATTTAACTATAGCCCATCAGCTTTAAAATTGATGAGTTGTAAGAGATGAATGGAAGTGAACAGACACATTGTCTCCAGCATGCCTGCTTCTACTTGCCAACCCATGATTGACATCTGAACCCAGAATGCTGAATTGTTTGGGGTCAAACAATCCAGCAGTTAACCCAAAACCTAACAAACTCCTAAACACCTCAGTAGTCTGGTTTTGGATGTCACACTCAGCAGGGACAGATCAGGAGCTGTTGAGTGAAAGTTGATGAGAACAGACATGGAATTATTCCTGCTTTCTCCCACTTGTGTACAAACCATTGGCTTTTAAACTGATGAGTTTCTATGATGTGCAAACCAGGTGTGGGGAATGACAAGTTGAGAAATAATGAACTAGGAGACATGATACTACAGTGTAGCATGCTATAATTTACCAGGTATTGTGTGTGTGTGTGTGTGTGTGTGTGTGTGCGCGCGTGTGTGTATGTAACTGAAAATTTTAATGTAAGCAAGAGCTGATCAACATGTTACATATAATGAAGTGATTACTAGGTAGTGGTAATAAAATTCTCAACTTAACCTATTTCAGATGTAAGTGTAGTTTTAGTTTCTATGTATGCTTCCCCATCTTAAAATCACACCATCTACTTAAAGTAAACTAACATATTAGTTTGCTACATACAGGGAGGTTTTGTTTAGGTGGAGGAAGCATTCAGAAATATGGCATCTGCCCCACACATGTGCATTTTAAATTGTTGCAGTCCAGAAAGTTGCCTCTTATTCTAACAATATTTTTCTATTTATATATACTACAATAAAATGCAAAGAGGGACAGCTAAAGGTACAGTGCTATTGATTACACTCTTGCTGCTCAGAAGCCCCTAAACTTGGAGGCTCCCAAATTTCTTATGCCCTGTCAGGATGAAACTGACAGTGTAGGATGAGTGGTAGAGGTGATCTTTACCACCCTGTCCTCCAATCTCTGGACTTTTTATTAATGAGGGATCTTCAGAGGGATAGGGAAGGAGGCTGGAAGAAGCTTAGAATAGCTCGTATCTTGGCCTCTCTGGTCTCCTCGTCCACCAGGACACCCATTTTTGCTCCTCTCCAAGGTTGAGTTTCCAAACGTGGAGAGGCAGCCAATGTGCTTGTTTTCTTGCCAGCTGCAAGGGGGAGAGGCCTGCAGTCAGACCTGCTCCCTTCCATGGTCAGAGTGCTATCCTCAAACATTGGAGGCATTTTATGAGTTCTCTTGTGGTTCCTGGGGTACTTGCTCAGGAACTATAGAATTGCCTCCTAAAATGATTGAGGGGCTGGAGTAACTCCCCTTAAAAATTAAAAAAAAAAACCTGGAACTAAGAGGATACATGATAAAGGTCTACAAAGTGTGGGGAAAGTTAGAGGCATTTTCATTCTTCATAATACTAGAATTTGGGGTCATCTAATGATGTGGATTGGTGGGAACTTAAGGATACTTGAAAACAAGTACAGCATACAGTTAAACTATGGAATTGCCACCACATAATGTAATGATGGATGCTACTTAGCATGGCTTTACCAAGGAATTGGACACATTCTTGGAAGAGAAGGCTTCAGTAAGTTCTTGTCCTGATAGCTATATACTGTATCCAGTATCAGCTGCAGTTGTGGAGAACATAGTTGGGGAGAGTGCTTTTACACTCACATACTGCTTGTAAGTTTCATGTGGGTGGCTTGTTAGCCAATGTGTGAACTAGATTAAGATGGATCTTTGTTTATTCCATTTCAATTCCTTTTATGTTGTTATATAAATGAAAGATACATTCTTATTTTGAGTGTAGATTAGACCTTTTAAGATACGATGCATGTTGAATTTATTTGTTTCCTTCTCTAGTTGTATATTGATGCATTAGAATTGGTCACATTTCTAGAAAATGCAAGTGATGAAGAATTCCTTCCAAGGTAAAGATTTATAAAATGGTACCACAAACCTACTTGAGGTCTCTCCAATTTTATTAAATTGAATGTTTGTTTTTAACATTTATATCCCACATTTTCTTGAAGGAACTCAGGGTGATATACACTGTTCATTCTTTTTATCCTCACAAAAGCCTCATAGGCTCAAGGCGAGAGAAAGTGATTAGCCCAAGACCACTCATTGATGTTTGTGGTTGAATGTACATTTGAACTTGGGTCCCTCAAGTTTTGGTCCTGTGGCTCTTAACCACTACATCACCCTGTCTGAAGGCATGTGGCATGATTTTAAAATGTTAACGTTAGACATGAGTTGATTGTATGTTTGCTTTCTGACCAGTCAAAGAAAGCCAACCAGTAGCAGAGAGGATAGAAGTGCTAATTTGTTCATAGCAAAAACAGGAAAGTACTGTGGCACCTAAATGACTAAGGCAGCAATCTTGTGGTTCCCTAGACATTGTCTGAAAGTTTACAGGATAGTAAGGAATACATCTCTCTGAGTTGGGAGACAGTGTGCAATCATCAGTAGGGGGAATTGGAGATCCACCCCCATACAAGTCATGCGTAAAAATGATGCTGGCTGTCTCTTAAGGCTGTAAAATTAATTTCAGAGAAGGGAAAAGGGAGTGTTCTGGTGGGCAGGGAGGAAAGGAGAAAAGAAAAGGGAGGATATGAACTATTCTTTCCACATCCTTTCCGCCACCTTCCCTCCCATTCCAAAGTACCTTTACTGGTTGGTCAAAAAGCCTGTCTAGTAAAAAATGCAGTAATCAGAGGATGAGGAGGCAAAGATCACCTCCCTGCTCCTCCTATCTCGTTGCTTCAAGAATATCAGGAGCAACAAAAAGGACTTCTATCAACATGTAAATTGCAAGAGGAAGGCGAGACAGGTGGTGGAACTGTTTAACAAGAAAGAAGGGGATTTGGTGACTGATTTGAGGGAACAAGCACAGGCTAAATGTTTATTTTGCCTTTGTGTTCTTTCCAAAGCAGGATGGGGGAGATCTACATGGGGGACTGGATGAGGCCAGGTGTTTAGGGGCACAGATTAGAGACACCCTCCTAGAAGTCGAGTAACTCCTCAGGGCACTGGATGATAAAAAGGTGCCAGACCATGATGGGATGCACCTGAGAGTACTTCGGGGATTGGTGGGGGTACTCTTGCACAGCCTCAATTTTTGAGACCTTGTGGAGAATGGGTGAGGTTCCAGAGGACTGGAGGTGGCGTCAGTGGGCCCAATTTTCAAAAAGGGTGGTAGAGGAGACATGGGGAATTACTGGTTAGCCTTATGTCCATTGTAGGAAAGACAATGGGAAGGCTCATAATAGCGAGAGATCTAATAACCCTAAGATAGGGAAGGGCTGTTGGCAGGCATGCGATATACCTGCCGCAAAAACAGGTTCTGCCAGACGAACCTTGTGGAATTCTATGGCAGGGTTTCGAGGTGGCTGGACAGAGGGGACATGGTGGATGTCATTTATCTGGATTTCAGCAAGGCCTTTGACAAAGTGTTGCATGAAGTCCTGGTTGAGAAATTGGGGAGTTTTAGGATAGACCAGTGCACTGTCTGATGGACTGTGGCATGGATGACAGACCGAAAACAGAGGGTAACTATTAGTGGGGAATCATTGGGATGGTGGCCAGTGACAAGCAGGGTCCCCCAGGGCTCTGTCCTGGGCCCAATCCTGTTCAATCTTTTCATCAATGACCTGGAAGAGGGGGTGACTAGTCTGCTGATCAGATTTGCAGATGATACTAAAATGGGGGCGGTGGCCACAACTGAAGAGCAGGTACTCCAGATCCAGAAGGATCTGGACAGACTTTGGAAGTGGTAGGGGACAACAGAATGGCGTTCAATGAGGATAAATGCACTTGGGGCATAGGAATGGGTGTCATAAGTACAGGTTAGAGACAAGTGGCTGAGGAGCAGCACTTGTGAAAGGGATCTCAGGGTACTGGTCAACTGCAGGCTACACATGAGTCAGCAGTGCGACACGGTAGTCAAGGGGGTGAGCACCACCCTTGACTGCATAGCTATAAGCATGGCTTCTAGATTGAGGGAGGTATTGCTGCCACAGTATACAACTCTGGTGCACCTGCAAGTGGAGTATTATGTTCAGTTCTGGGCTCCACACCACAGGAAGGATATAGCCAGGTTAGAATTGTTGCAGCATAGGACCACAAGGATGGTGGCCGGATTGCAGGGGAAGCCATATGAGGCAGGACTGAGGGAACTGGGTCTTTTCATACTGGAGAAAAGGAGACCTTAAGGGTATCTGTTGACTATATATAGGTACATGAGGGGGTGTCACATGGAGGTGGGTGGGGACCTGTTTTCCTCTGCAGAGGAGCACAGGATGTGTTCCAATGGAGCAACGCTGAGGGGACCAAAATTGAATTTGATTCCAGGAGGTTCTTCCTGACTGTTAGGGCCCCCAGGGTATGGAATGGGCTTCCATGGGAGGTGGTTGAAACCCCATCAGTGAGGGTGGTCAAGGATAGGCTGGACGTCCACATGGTGGGCATGTAGTGAGCGGAGCCGGCTGGATCCGGGGGTCAAACTAGATGGCCTCGGAGGCCCCTTCTGACTCGCTTTGTTTCTATGTTTCTAAGTTTGGAGTCTTGCATCTTGTAAGCACACAACCCATAAAATTCCATCCTTAAATGCTCATTATGCATTAGATTTCTTGGACTAGCGCCAACTGCATCAAGTTGGCAGCTGTGTGTGATATGAATTATCTGTGGAAGAGGTCCTGGTTTGTAATATTGAGGGTGACAGTGAGGAAATGTTAGTATCTTCTATCCATTTTAAAGGACTGAGCAACCTTTTAGGGTTAAGGCTTACATTTCATGTTGGGAAAAATGGTCAGCAGCTACATACTCCAGGGGGCAGGTGGGATCTTAGCTAAAAGTGCTTGGGAATGAGCTTCCCCCTTCCCCTATTCCATTCTCATATTCCTTTCATGTCATCTTTGTCTCCCTTTCTGCCCAATCACAGAATGACTTTGCCCATGTGCCATCTTCTGTACATAACATGCAATCCTGCCTGCCAATTTGGCAGGATGACATGAGTGTGATTGCTCTGGAGATGATGGTGCTTAGGGAAAATCATTCCTGTTCACTGGCATGTTCCTTTAAGCAACCCAAACAACTGAGGAATATGAACTTGCGGGCTGAGGAAGTTTGAAGACAAGAATCCCCCTAGAATTTGTGTGGAGCCCATGGGTAGTGGGTTGCCTACTTGTGCCTTACACAGTAAGAAGTATACAAAATGGAGAATAACTCTGAATCTTTCTTTTTGTCTCTTTCTGCTATTATCTCATGATCCATCCCAAATCTATTTGCAACAGGGGAGATAGATATGATGCCTTGAGGGCCTGCATTGGAGACACTTTGTGTCAGAAGCTGCAGAATCTGAATGTTTTCTTGGTAAGTATGGTTTGTAGAAGATAATTTCATGAATCTTGGAATGCTAAGGTCTAAATAGCCTCTGTTGTGTATTCAGTTCTGTACTGCATTGTATTGTGGCAATAAAATCCCATGGACAATTCTTTTAGAAATGATTGCAGTGTGCATTTACACAAATTTTAATTCTACACATTCCTAAAAGCTGAACCCTTTCCATCAGAGAGTGCAAGCTTAAAACACACATGTTAAATGAAACAATGTTCTGTAAAATTTTCTATGGTTTTTGAATATTCTGTTTATTACTTCAGATTCAGGTGGCAGTTACAGTCTACCTTTTTTGGTGTCTTCTATCTTTCATTTCATATTTTTGGGGGTTCCGACTTTATTTTGGGTCCTCCACCAGTCCCTGGCCACAAGAAAAAAGGCACTGGCCTGCAGCAACTTTGGAATAACTCCCTGCAAGTTACACTGAAGACATACTTGGAAAGTGTAAGCTGGTGCATTGGCTTTAATGATGCATTGATAAGAACTTGCCCTGGAAATGTTTGAGCTATTAATTGGCCATCCTTAGAAAGGAAAAAAACCCCACAGTCCACTGAGCCAAAACAGTATCAGGATGGATTTACTACTGGCCATATTAAAAATATCTACTATGCCATTTACAAGAAAAAATATTATGATATGCAATAAAATACAACTAAAACACATAATTGTTAAAATGTTTATTTATAGAATGATAGAATAGTAGAGTTGGAAGGGGCCACGGAGGCCATTGGGTCTAACCCCTTGCTGTTGCAGGACACCATGTTCCACCACCCCACTCAGATGGCTGACCAGTTTCTTTTTGAATGTCTCTAGTGTGGGAGACTCCTTCATGGATCACTGCCTTGTCGTGGTGAAGGGGCTTGCATAGCTCAATGAAGCTATGAGGTCCTTATCATCACGGGGGATTGGAATGCTAAAGTAGGAAGCCAAAAGATAACTGGAATAACAGGCCAGTTTGGCCTTGGAGTACAAAATGAAGCAGGGCACAGGCGGGTAGAATTTTGTCAAGAGGATATGATGGTCATAGCAAACACTCTTTTCCAACAACCCAAGAGACAGCTCTACACATGGACATCACCAGATGGTCAGCACAGAAATCAGATTGACTATGTGCTCTGCAGCCAAAGATGGAGAAGCTCTATACAGTCAGTAAAAACTAGACCAGGAGCTGACTGTGGCTCAGATCATGAGCTTCTTGTTGCAAAATGTAGGCTTAAATTGAAGAAAGTAGGGAAAAGCACTAGGCCACTCAGGTATGACCTAAATCATATCCCTGATGAATATACAGTAGAGGTGACAAATAGATTTAAGGAATTAGATCTGATAGAGTGTCTGAAGAACTATGGACAGAGGTTCGCAACATTGTACAAGAGGTAGCAACTAAAGCCATCCCAAAGAAAAAGAAATGCAAGAAAGTAAAAAGGCTGTCTGAGGAAGCTTTACAAATAGCTGAGGAAAGAAGGGAAGCGAAAGGCAAGGGGGAAAGAGAAAGATACACCCAATTGAATGCAGCATTGCAAAGAATAGCTAGAAGAGAGAAGGATGCTTTCTTAAATGAACAGTGCAAAGAAAAAGAAGAAAACAATAGAATAGGGAGGACCAGAGATCTCTTCAAGAAAATTGGAGATATGAAGGGAACGTTTCATGCAAAGATGGGCATGATAAAGGCCCAAAATGGCTGGGACCTAACAGGCAGAAGAGATTAAGAAGAGGTGGCAAGATTACACAGAGGAGCTATACAAGAAAGAGCTTAACATTCCTGATAACCATGTTGGGGTGGTCACTGACCTTGAGCCAGACATCCTAGAATGTGAAGTCAAATGGGCCTTAGGAAGTGTGAACAACAACAAAGCTAGTGGAGGAGACAGTATTCCAGCTGAGCTATTCAAAATCTTAAAAGATGATGCAGTAAAAGTGCTACACTCAATATGCCAGCAAATTTGGAAAACTCAACAGTGGCCACAGGATTGGAAAAGGTCAGTTTACATTCCGATCCCAAAGAAAAGCAATGTCAAAGAATGTTCAAACTACCGCACTATTGCAGTCAGTTCTCATGCTAGCAAAGTTATGCTCAAAATCCTCCAAGCTAGGCTCCAGCAGTATGTGGACTGAGAACTACCAGAAGTACAGGCAGGATTTCGAAGAGGAACTAGAGATCAAATTGTCAACATATGCTGGATCATGGAGAAAGCTAGGGAGTTGCAGAAAAACATCTACTTCTGCTTCATTGACTATGCTAAAGCCTTTGATTGTGTGGATCACAACAAATTGTGGCAAGTTCTTAAAGAGATGGGAGTACCTGACCATTTTATTTGTCTCTTGAGAAACCTGTATGCGGGTCAAGAAGCAACCGTGAGAACTGGACACAGAACCACTGA